CTCGTGCTAGCTGAGGTGACCGGACAGGCGCGTCCCAGGACACGTCCTGCTCAACGCCGCAAGGCCGTGCTGGGTCGGGCCTGGCCGCTCCTCTCCTCATCCTGAGTCTACGCAGCGCGGCCCAGGCCCCGCCCCAGGGACACGGGCTGTCCTCCCTCCAGCCACAGCCGCCGCCTCCACTGTGGCCGAGGGCGCTCCTGCCTGTCGCCTCAGGCTCGCCGGCCAGCTCCAGCACCGCCACGCGGTGGCAGCCGGCACCTGCACTAGCAGCAGAGCGGGCTCCCCTCGCCTGTCGCCAGCGACACTGCGGACTTGCCCGAGGACGCAAAGCCGGCGAGGCCGCAGCCCGGACCCAACCCGCACGCCCTGCTGGGTGTCTGTCTCCCGGGTCTCTGCACCCCTGGAGCGGCCCAGGTGGCCCCAGCCGCGGGCCCCAGGCCAGCCTCACCTCTCCCACAGCTGGTCCTCCCCGACGGAGCCGCCAGCCAGCTGCCCCTTCATGTAGGCACGTGCGTCCTCCAGGAACGAGCCCAGCCCCAGGAGTAGCTGCTGGGCTTGCAGCATGGCGTCCTCACTGTAGTCGATGGCTGAGGAGGAAGAGACAGACGCTCACTGGGGTGGTGCCCGGCATGCCCACGCGTAGCGGGATCGGCAGTGATCCCAGTGGGCGCCGTGGCACCCGAGACCACGTGGAGAGGCGACACGGCCCTCGCCGCCCTCCGAGACCACGACCCGCTCGTGTCACCCACCCCGGGAGAACCGGATGACCCGAAGGCAGCCACTCCCAGGGCTTCTGGCTGAGAGGTGCGTCCATCAGACAGACAGAGGGCCCAGCCGCTCTGGAGCGAGGGAGCCCGCCCTGGGCCGCGAGCGCCTGCGGGGAATGGGAGGAGGGGTGAGGGCGCCAGGACCCCAGGGACGGGGAGGGTGGTCCTCCCTCGGGGTTAAGAACGTGGGTGTTTCTCACACCTCCTGGGAGGGGGGACCAGCGTTTTTGTTTCATGTGTGCTTTCTCCTTTTTATGATTTCTCATCTGCACCTTGACAGGTAAGAGTCTGTAAGAATGAATGATTTCACAGTGACCACACACTTGGATAATAAAGTGTCAGCTTGCCAGAAATCTCTAAGACCCGACTCTCAACTCGTTGCCTGTTTCCGTCTCTGGACTGGCTGGGTCCCCAGACCATGCTCTGAGGAGCACGGCTTCAAACAGCTCTTTAAGACCCACAAAAGGAACAAGATCCCACTGGGACACACATGCAAAAACTACTTCCTGACATGCTTAAAAGTGTTAGTTTCAAAGTGAGAATTCCAGAATGAGACGTGGACCCCCTCAAGGCTCTCAGGGTCTTTTTTTCTCCCATTTTTCTTTTACTATTGTTGTTATTTTTAGTGACTTGGAGTCTCACTGTGTCGCCCAGGCTGGCATGCAGTGGGACACACACAGGCACCGCAGCCTCGACCCACTGGGCTCAGGTGATCCTTCCACCTCAGCCTCCTGAGTAGCTGGGACTACAGACATGCACAACGCCCAGCTAATTTTTTGATTTATTGTAGAGATGAGGTCTCGCCACGTTGCCCAGGCTGGTCTTGAACCCCTGGACTCAGGCAGTCCTCTTGCCTTGGCCTCCCAAAGTGCTGGGATGACAGGCATGAGCCACTGAGCCTGGTTTCCTTTTTTCAAAATGCGCTTTGTTTTTGCTTTGGATGGCTTGATTCAAAAAAGAGAAGCCTGGAAGCCCACACTGCAATCTGACGTCCTTTAAAACAAGTTTTTAGGGCTGACAGGTGAATTTATGGGGACCCTTTGAAATAAATTGACAGGAGCAATGTGGCAAGAACAGACATTTCAGACACAGGCGGAGGGGAAGGGCACTCTGGGCACGGATCCCGTTCAGCCCCAGGGTCAAGGAGAGCCGCGCTCCCAAGCGCGAGAGCCACAAGGCGTGCCCGGGGATGGAGCCCTGGCCGCCACCTGCCACGGTCCATCTGCTGGACAGTGTCCCAGGGAGCGTCTGCCTGAAGGCGAAGCAGACGCATATGAGCTGACCGGGAGCCTCCACGCCAATCCCGGAGGCCCCATGGCTGCCTCTGACCTCTGGGGCGTCCAGGTCCGCAGATGGGTCCCGCGTGGGAGTTCACGGCCCAGCCCACCCACTCTTCAGGGTGCCCGGTGTTCCAGTCCTCCTCGCTGGCGGGTCTGTGCCAGCCCCAGTGCCCACTGGGAACATGCTTCCAGAACAGCCGCCCAGGCTGGAGAGAGCCTCGTTTCAGACCAGACTTAGTCCTCGGAGCTCAGAAAGAGCAGCCCACAAGCAGGGGTCAAGAGCGTCGTGCAGGGCCCTGCCCAGGGCCTCCCCTGCCTGTGGCGAGGGGCAGAGCCCAGGACGAGAAGCCACTGGAACAGGACCAGCCTGGATGGCTGGCGAGGGCTGCGGCCGTGAGGAAGGAGCTGGGCGCCTGCGTGTCACCTGCACGTCCTCGGGGCATCCTGTGCCCCTTTGCTTTGAGTCGGAGTCTCGCTCTGCCGCCCAGTTGGGCGTGCAGTGGCCCGCTCACAGCCACCGCAGCCTCGACCTGCTGGGCTCAGGCGATCCTCCTGCCTCAGCCTTCCAAGTGGCTGGGACTACAGGCAGGTGCCACCACGCCCAGCTAGCTTCTTACTGCAGAGATGAGGTCTTGCCAGGTTGTCCGGGCTGGTCTGCAGCCCTGGACTCCGGCGAGGGTCTCACCTCCACCTCCCACAGTGCTCGGGTGACAGGCGTGAGCCACGGCGCCCGGCCTTCCTCCCTTTCCGGCAACACAGTCTCCAACACACACGCACACAGCACAAGGCAAACCGTGGCGAGGCTGCTGGCGTCGTCGGTCACGGGCCGGGGGGACCGAGTCCTCACGCGAGTCCCTCCACGCACAGGCCCTGTCGCCACGCGTGGCAGGTCGCCCCGCGGGACAGGCCCAGACCACGCACCGCTGAGTCTGGACGAGCTGTGGACAGCCCATGCGTGCCGAGGCAGACGGCGGGGAGGCGGGACGGCGTGGCACGCCCTGGACGGTGCTGAGCGAGGGCGGGCGACTCGCGAGGCCCGGCGCGCCAGAGCCCCCCAGCGGCGACGCCTGTGTCCCAAGGACGCGTTTCCCGAGAACACCCTCCGTGCTCATGGGTGGCTGTCGTGGGTGGGAAGGGGTGCGGGCTTGCGCCCCCCCTGCGCTTGCGGTTGACCCTGCCCACATGCACCGGCAACAGGGCTATCTGGGATCGGCTCCGTGGGGCCCGGGCCGCCCACCTGCACACCAAACGTGGCACACAGGCTCAGCAGAGACACGGGCAGCCACAGAGCCGGAGTGGAGGCCGTGCTTGGAGCACGCCGGGTCACTGTCCCCTGGCCAAGGGCGGTGATCAGTCCCAACCCGCCGAGGACGCTGTGGTGTACAGGGACTGCGCTCGGTGCCCGGGAGCCCCTCCAGAGGTGGCCAGGAGCCGGCAGGGGCCGACCCCCCGCCCCGAGGTCCCCGCACGGCCAGGCAGGAGAAGCCCGGCGGCCGACGACTCAGTGCTGGGGCAACTCGGGGAAAGGAAGTCGTGTGTGCACAGCTGTGTCAACTGTGAGTGCGTCAGCGCACGTGTGTCATTGTGACCGTGCATACAAGCTACTCATTGTGCGTGTGCACCTGCCGGTCACTGAGGGTGTGCGTGTGTCTTGTCATGGCGACTATGCTCATCTGCGTGTCACCGTGACTGTATGCGTCATGGTGCACAAGTCATTGTGTGTGTACACCTGCGTGCCACTGTGTGTGTGTTTCTGCAGGCGTGTGCAGAAGTGTGTGTTAGTGTGCACCTGTGTGTCAGTTGTGTGACCCTGTAGGCGGCCGAAGTGTGCAGGGGTCCAGGTGGCCCACGCAGCTGGAGCAGGCGCAGCTCGAGAACAGGGACGGGACCCGACAAGGCTCGCCTGCCTGGCCAGGGCTTCGTGCGAGACATAAGGCGCCTGGGGTGCTTGGGAGTCAGTTGCTTCGACTGCGGCCGTTGCCCCTGTTGTCTCCATGAAAAACGGAAACGAGTCGGAGCGAGAGCGGTCCGTGGAGGGGCAGGAGGGGGGAGGGAGGCGGTGGAAAGAAGCAGCAGCCCAGAGGCACGACGGAGCCCGTGGGCAGAGCAGGGCGCAGCGGGCAGGGACAGAAATCAGGGTGCTGTGACCCAGTGGGCACCGCCTAGAAGTGACAGCCTCAGACGGGACGGAGGCCACCAGCCAGGGACTGGGCCGGAGGGAGACGCCTGGGAGGAAAGCGCCCAGCTCAGGGCGAGAGCGCAGGGCAGCGCCATCCCTGTGAGGCGGGTGGCGGGTGGGGCAGCAGGGAGGTTGGTGGTGCCCAGCTCAGCGCCCACTGCTCTGCCTTCCCCGTTTTACGATCAGCTGAGCCTTTGTACTTCAGCGACATGGACCCCAGGCCCCGCGCGCGGCCCCTGGCAGTGCAGGGAGGGAGTCGGGG